CAGGACACTTTTCAAATAGAGCCGGTCTAGACCGAACTCCTTTTAACATTTACAGAGACCCAACAGTACCACCATGGCTCTTGAATTCCACATTTCCCAGTTCAGTAATGCCGCTCCCAAATAAGACAAAACTTACTCTGTCGTTTCTGAACTGACATGCTGTGGAGTCGACCGTTCCTCGTGGGCAGTTGGAGGCTCTAAGGTAGAAGTGGTGGTAGATGTATTTCACATCAAAACCAGACTGAAAGAAAGAGATGGAGGATTAAGTCTGAACTGTAACAGCTTTAAGGAGTTGTTCCTGATAAACACAATCTTTAATGATTAGAGCTTTTCCTGAGGATTTTACTCACAACAAAAGATTAACACTGATTCTGAAAAAGCAGGCATACTTGTACACTACCTCGATGTCTGACTTTGTGAGACTTCTGAGGAAGAGAAAATGGTGCTGGATCCCAACATGAGAATTTATCTTGTGCAGTGCCAGATCCACTCCTTTCCTGTAGGCTTCAGGAAGTTTATTGTAATTCTTTTCCTGGGCATTAGAGCAAAAGAACAAAGCTCCAACGCTGAACAGCAGCAATAAAGCAGCCATCTTTCTGCCTGTGTGTGTAACAATAAAGGGCGAGGGGATAGTGCAACAGACCGCCCCCTCTGTGTTGTTTTCCTGAACAGGAGAGAACATCCAGCCCACTTTTTAACTGGCTGAAAACAGTCAGTTCTTTTCCAAGCCTCGACTGAATTGATGTCTAACAGATTTCAGCAGGAGGGATTTCCCAGGGGCCCCTGAGAGCTCAATGCAGTGCAACTTAGAAAACCCGACAAAAGCAACCATAAATGCTGAAAAAAAAAGTTTAGTCTGGGCATTCGTCCCTTTTTTAAGTTTCTCTTGTTTTGTAAATCATTTCTGTAATATTCTGTGCAATCTGAAGTGTGTATCTGTGTTTGGTTGTGATTTCTGAATTTGTTTTGGGGCTTTTATCCTCCTTTTTTTGATAGTAGTGAATTGAAAAATACATGCATCACATGCATCACTGGAACAAAATAACAACCAGACAGCAAGCAATACAATAAACATTTAAAAGGCAGGTGGCTTGGTATGTCAACAAATCTCTTCCTGGTCAGAAAACAAAAAAAAAAAGGTTAATATGCTATATGGTACTTTTTAACCAGTTTTTTTTAAGGCCACTTTAAATTTCTCTATAATGCACTATATGCACTATTCCTTTTGTCCTAATGCTACAGCTGAAGATAGACAGGAAAGGGGGAGCGAGGGGATGACATGGAGGGCAAAGGGGCCACTGCAGTGAGGACCTCTACCAGGTGAGCTACTGTATGTTGTGTATATGTATTACATAGATAGAAAGGAATTAGGACAGAACAACTGCCAGAATAAATAGAAAATAACTTTTTATTTGTCATCAATATTTCAACCATTAATGTACACGGGAACATCAGCAATAGCCTCTCGGACTCTGTATTGCTTTTGAAATGGAACAACAATTTGTATCAGCATTTCATGACTTTGACAGATACTTTGGCATACACAGACAACCTTCATTTCATCCACAGGCACAATAAGCAAACATAAAACTGACACTGTACTGCCTACTTTTCATTAACATCCCCTTCATTGTCCATGACCATGATCCAGACAAATGTGAGTGTACATTATTAAAAAACTGTGACATACTCCAAATGAATCTTCAAAAAAACAGCAATAATGCCTCATAATGCAACAGATAAATAATAAAGAGATGTTTGATTAATGAGCCTCTCGAAAAGTGCAAACTATTGTAACACGTGTGTCTTCCTTACAAAACACAACAGACACTTGTAGCTGATCACTTCATGGTCCCACAGGCACTTGAGATTTTGTGCAATTTTGTGACACCAAACAGGCACAAGATCACAATGACAGTCAGGCTGAGACGGGCCAGTTCAGAGGGAAAAATAGTGTCTGAAATACACACTTGAGAGTAACAGAGGACCGAAAATGTATTATTTGACACAGTCAAAGCTTTAACCAATCCATGTCACACTGATACAACATGACACAAAACAAAAAAAATACATATATATTTATATATATGTATATTTTTAAAAGCCTTCCCTCTCAGTAATGCATGAATATTGAGATTGTCTACACAGCTTGTGTGGAAATTTGGTCGACTAAGTTCACATGAGCGTGAAATGAAATGTTTAAACAATTAGTCGATGCCCAAAAAATAATAAAGCTAAAACTAGGAATGTTATACTATGTAATTTTATTAAGGTAGGCTTATAATGTTAGGAGACGTTGAGATGGCTGAACTGCAGCTTATTGTTCTGATCACAAAACTATTTACACGAGACATTTGGCACTTGGACAAAGAAACTAATAAATTACAGTGATTCCCATAAATCAACCAACACCAAGTGAGACCTCAAAACAAACTCTACATTAGTACATTAGTGCCCTAAACATGTGCATGGAGACATTTAGAGTATATTCATTATGCCACTGTGTTAATTTTCTACTAAAAAAAAACAAATGTGTCATGATGACAAACATGATGTCATGGCATTAGTGTCATGAGAAACTGCCTGTTCATGTATTGTTTTTGGTACGCAATCATCACAGTCCTGCAATATCTCCCTCTGATGGTGATCTTAATACACTGCAGATACATTATTTGACATAAAAGCCCGACTTTCATCTAAAATTGTTTGAGTACAAAACAGAAAAGACTGGTTACAGAAAGGACAGGTTAAAAATCAATCACAGAAAGTCATTTAAGAAGCAAAACTAAAGCAACACTGATATTTATGAGATTTGAGAGGACACTAAGGAGATAAAATGATTACATAAAATACAGTCATTGTTCAGATTTGGTGCCTTAAAAAAAGTGCTACGAGCTTCGGGAGGCGGGTAAAGTGATCGACTGTCTAGAATAAGACAGCATGAGGGGAAAAAAAACAACCTTTTTATCTCCTTCATAAGGCGCTTGGTGAGCTTAAAACATGAACAAAGCGACAAACTTGAAAAGCAATAACTCGGCATGTTAATATAAAGAATAAATCCCATATATCCTCCACATATTCAATGTGAATCAGAGCAACCTTTCAGGGCTAAAAGTTAATCAGTCTTCTACTACAATCTAATATAATCGCGTTTAATTTCGAGCTCGAGATCACATCATTTGATTTGGAATCTCTTGTCCCCTGAAATATATATTTTTAAAAAACTATATTATAAGTGAATGTGAATCTGTCTGATCTCCTCTGTTGGATTTTACTCTTTCACCCCAACGATCTGATAAAACGCAACTTAAATAGTTAACCAAAGTATCAACCACCCAGACCTCTGACATACTGTACGTTCACAAGTGATAATAAAGAGGTGCACAGTGATGTGTTTCAGGACTCATTGGTCGGTAGTGATTGAAGGATTCTAGTTTGTCCTCTGTAAGGAGTTGAGTGGTGATACGAGGGCTTCTTAAAAAGGGTTACACAGGCATGTGCATCTCCGAGTACTCATCGTGACACTCGCGCTCATCAAACTTCGGTTCTGCGTCGTCCGCATCCAGCTGGAGGAGGAAGAGCAGACGTTAGGATTAACATTTTCTTAAAAGAAGAAAATACTATGAGGAAGTGTAGTTAGACTATTAGTCCATTTTCTGTATCTTCCTAATGTTTAGTCTACTAAAGAAATGACCTACCTTTCCCAGAATGCCTTAGAAATAAACTATTTTTAATTGAGGCCAAAAATCATGGTAGTAGCATTGGAAATACCTCAGCTTGACACCAGATTGCACATTTAAATGAAATAATAAAGAAAGTAAGTGAATCACAAAATGCTGATATTGCCCTTTTGTATTTTTATCAATCAACATTCAGACGAAAAAAAGGTATTACATATAAAAAGAACTTCAAAATAAATGAATAAATAAAGCAGACTTCATGTGACGCTCTTGATCTTTTTACTAGCTCCTGTTTTCAGTTCTTCTTCATCTTTGTGATGACATAATTCTGTATTTATTTTTACCACCTTTAAAAATATCAGGCTCTCAAAGTTTCACCATTATGACAGATATTAAAATACACTCGTGTCCAGGGCCGACCCTATTCAGCTACAGGAAGTTTATAATAATAAGAATGTTTATGTTTGTTTGTTGGTTTAAGAACCAGAGCTTATTTGGTGTAAAATGAGTACTCCTGGTCCACAATTCTCTTCCTAATAGTTCCTATTTGGAGACAGGCTTGCTGTTAAACATCTCTATAACATTGCTACTGCTGAGGTTGTGGTCGCAGGTGTATAAAGAAGCATATTGCGCCCTCCTGTGGTTCACTTACACATGCAATCTCTCTGGTGGTGAAGATGCGGCGCAGCAGGAACATCTTGACAGGGACGGTGAGGATGAGGACGAAGGGGAAAGCCAGCGATGCCTGCGTTGACATAACGGCCCACAGGACGCCCAGACACACCAGCTGGATGCAGGTGAACAGATGCATACGCAGCGTACGGACCTAGAGGAAACAGGTTCTTTATGAAAACTCTCACCAGCACTAGTGTGAGATAAAAAATTTGTAATGCCATTTTAGGGAAAATCAATTAGTCAATTAGTCGATTAGTCATCGCTGGAGCCAAAATGCCAAATATTCACGGTTCCAGGTTTGTCTCAGATTTTTAATAACTGAACATTTTAACAACATTTTATCAACTAAACCATTAAATAATAAAATCAACAGCTAAATCAATACTTAACTTTAATATATTTTATTCCTGCACTCAATAACACAATATAATAATATATTTTATTCCTCAGATTTCTAAAAACTGCACCCTTTTAATGTTTCATAATTGATCCTATGACTAGAAAAATTATCTGAATGAACAGCTTGTGTGATTTTTATGATCATGTCATTTGATTACATCTTTATTTCTTGCACCTGGAACCTTAAATACTTTATGTAATGACTAAATCAGTGATTCCCAACCTTTTTCCTTGAGACCTTCCTTGACACCTTTGAGTAAATTGATGACCCCTGACTAAGTGACATATTTTATATTCAATCAATGCATTTTTAACTTTTCTTACACCCCTTAAAATCAAGAAGGCCTCGCAACCCTAAAATAAATAACAATATAACACTCTACCTTGCGCACGTAGGTGTGGTCTGGGTGATACTTTGGTGGCATGAGCAGCAGCATCATCCGCTCTGTTAGCTGGATACCATTTAGGGACATCACACCCATGTAGAGGAAGATACCAAACAGCACCGCAAGGGGGATCTGACGCAGCAGCTTGCCTATCACAATGGACATACCTGGGGAGGGGAAGCAATGGGAGATTAAAAGCTAAACATGTTTAAAAATGTACTTTTAAAAAGTTAAAATTATTGAATTGCCTTCAATAACTGGAATGACACTCACCAACCATGATGGCCACCAAGAGCCCGGTAACCCTCTGCTCCTTCACCTCCTGGATGCGAGGCTTGTCTCCGGGGGCGACGGCCTTACTCATGACAGTAAGGGCGTTGACGTGGGTCACTGAGCGAACTGTCGCGGCAGCCATCCACGGCAGGCCGAACAGAGCCGAGCAACCGCCCAGCACCACAATCAGCAGCAGGTCCAAATGGAAACCAGAGCCCTTCACCAGCATCCGCTCCTTCTTACTCACGATCAGGCTGAAGGAGAAACACAGACGTAAACAACAGGGTCTGAGTAAGTCGACCACATTTAATTAATTAATTAGTTAAGGATGAGTGTGCTGAAGTGTTCATAGCAGACAGCTGCTTTATTCAGTGTGTACTAAATGAGCTGCATGCTCTTTTAGATTTTAGAAAGAACGCCTTTTTCAGCACCCATCTTTCCCGTCAATATTGCATACAAGGGAATTTAGAAATACAAAATACCGTAGTCCAGAGTGATACAATAGTACAATGGTGATAATTTGACGATATTATACAACTGTGTTGCTTTAGTTTAGCCACTTTTGAATCTGAATGTTTTAGCAATGTATACTTACATGATTACAGTTCTTTGGCAGCTGCATGAAAAAACTGTTGTAATAATGTGTTTAATGTATTAATATTTGTGCAATGATATAGTCAATCCTTATCAAACTGTTATAGTTAAGTTGCTTATCTAACTGTAGCTATTCAGGGACATGGATATTTAAAGAAGTTAATAAATAAATAAAAACATTGCTTTTTAGACATCTAGAATCTGTTATTACTATTCCACTGACACTTCTTCTGCAATGTGCACTACTCATCAGAGGATTAAACATATTCAAATGATGGTTATTAGTGGTTATGGTACTGAGATATTTCTGTTTTTGCTTTTAGAAATACATACCAGAAGAACCAGTGTGTAGCATTTACTGCCTTTAATATATTCATTATTGTACTTCTTTCCACTTTTTGATTTTAAAATCAGATTGTGTTTTTATTTATGTAAGGTCTTCTATCATTTAATCATCTGGAAATTGCTACAAGACTATGAATCTAACTGTAAAATCCTGTTATTTCAGATTCAGGTTGTACAGTAGAGATTAGTTCAACTCTATTATGTCATAATGTGGAGTAATTGCTATGATATTTTCGCGCAGTGCAACTTCCAGCGTAACTCACGTGGTGATCTGAGTCTCCATGAAGATGAGGATGAAAACCAGGAGAGCGGGGAAACAGCAGGCAAACATCATCCAGATGGGGAATTCACCGTTCGAACCCAGAGGATTGATGATCCAGCCACGTTTATGGGGACTCGTCACAGAGAAACCTTCAGGAACGCTCAGTTTCTAGACAGAGGACGATGACAGGAATGAGGAAGAGGATGATGATGGTCTGTGTCTGGGAATCTTTCAAAAACCCCAGTGTCAAATATTAGTGATAATATTTGTGTCTTACCTGTGTGTATGTGTCGTTTATACTGTAATCCACCAGCACCATGATGAGGATGGCAATTGGTACACCGAAGTCTCCAATAATCCTGCGAAGCTAAACACCACAAGATGCGAGTTTGAGCAGAACTGGCAGCTTCATATATTATATCCAAAAATAATCAAAAAGGTTTACATGTCGGTATTACACAATACTAATCTGGCTGTGTATTCTGGAGCACATTTGTGCTGGAGCTTTAAACTGCGTCACAGTAAAGGAAGAAAATCATGTGATACGATTGAAAAGCTCCAGAACGGCAACTAAATTGACCTTGTGGTGGGATTGTTTTCTCAACTTATGTTTCCAATTTCAACTTTAAAGCCTACACAGATGGAAAGTACTTACATAAATATGAACCTACAACCAGCAGCAGGTTAGCTTAGCTTAGCATTAAGACTGGAAACAGGGGTGGAAACCGCTAACCTGGCTCTGTCTGACAGTAATAAATCTGCCTAACTGCACCTTTAAAGCTCACTAATTAACACTTTATATCTTGTTTTTGCTTTGGTCTTTGGTCTGATTAAACAAATGAGTATCTAGTCTACATTTCAGACTTAAATTGTAGTGTCTCTGGTCCTAAAAACATACATGTAACCTTGATATATGTGATGGGAGGTTCAAGGAAGGTTAAATAAATATAAAGGGGTTGATGTTTGCAGGACAGATGTTTATGTAGATGATTCTTGCTGCTCACCCTTCCGGGGAAGAACGAGCTGTTCTTGAACTTGCGCAGGTAGAAAGCGATGAAATATGTTCCGGCCATGAGAACCAGAGAGAGCAGCGCGGTGTTGGGCTCGCCTTTGACCGTTATCTTCTGGGTGCTGTTGCTCGGCATGAATGAGATAATTTCTGCTGAGGAGTTCTCTTCTATGCTGCTGTTGAGGGAGCAACGTTTCAGGGGGTGCTCCTTGAAAATCTACCCGTGGACACAGAGGGTTCAAATTAATGCATAATATTTCACTACAGAATACACACACAAATACCTATGCACACCTATGTGAATACTTTCCTTGAAGGGATTACTGTATAATTGATTACTCTTTTTAGGTACCACAAATGTGATTAACCTGTCGCCAAACGCATTTCAAGTCTGTGCCATAAAAGTCTAAAAATAGCAAAACTTCAAAAACAATAGCCTGGATAAATAGTTAAACTCTTAATCCACTACACTTTCAAGGCCAATCAATCTCTAAAGATTTCAGGTGCACTTGTTAGAAAAACATACTCATTTCGACCCCGAGGTTTGAATACTGTCCAAAGATTAGTCAGTTCACTTTAGTGTCAGGGAGGTGAACCTGCAGCGTGCCAACAAAAACTTTCTGTAATCAGGAGTTGTTATTTCAAGTCTCAGGTATACCCTGCCGAGCTTGATGAAGGTCTCGCAGATGAAGATGAGGGAGATAAGGAAGGAGAAGATCTCCTGGGTGAAACGGGAGACGAAGCGGACCAGGAAGCTTCCCTCGAAGGCCACAGTGACGATCACGATGATGATGAGCCAAAACCCGATCCAGACACGGCCCGTCAGGTACTCCATGTCGTTTGCTTTGCAGAACTGTGAAGACACAGAGCAAAGACACTCTCTTCATCCACTGGAAAATGTTCACAGCAGCAATAAAAAGTTTTTATACTGCTGAAGTTAGAGAAGTTCTGATTATTTTAGTGTGAGTTTGTTTTGTCTACTGGTTTGAAGTGGGTGGGCTAAGTTGGAGAAATGTGATGTCAAGTACTTTGTGCACTAATCAGGATTTAGTATCAAACAGTCGGTTATGTTGCCAAGTCACAATTTTCTTGCCAAGAGTTAGAGGAGATGTACAACTCTCATATCTGTCTGCTAAATATAAGGCTACAGCCAATAGCTGATTAGCTTAGCTTAGCATCAAGACTGGAAACAGGAAGAAACAGCGAGCCTGCCCCTGTCCAAAGGTGACAAAAAGCACCTTTTAGTAAATCGACAAGTGAGAGTAAAAACCACAACATGTCGTTTTTACACTTAAAATGTTAAAAAAAAACCTAGATAAAATATGTTAGTGAGATTTAAAGGTACTGGTAGGCCAATGTTGTTACCTTTGGACCCAGTTTCCAATCATTATTCTAAGCTAAGCTAACCAGCTATTTTCTGTAGCTTCATATTTAGCGTACATCAATCTGCTCTTCTTATTCTTGATAAGACAGGAAATAAGCGTATTTCCCAAAATGTTGAACTATTCCTTTAACTATTTACTTTTACAGAGAAATAAAAGTATTATGGTCGATGAAAGAATATATGGTAAACTAGATTTTTAAATTATAGGCTACTGTTACTGTCCAGAGACTTACTATTTATCAGCACTTACACTGTAAAAGGCTTCTTCAAAGACCAGCAGGGGTCCAGAGAAGCCCACAACGAGTAGCGGCTGCGCTCCGAGCAAGCAGAAGATCACACCCTGCACTGCTGTTGACACAATCAACTCAGAAACACCAATCAGACCTTCCGTCTTCTCACCTAGAGATAAACAGGCACAACAAATTAACACCACAATGAGCACAGACAAGGTTTAAAAAGGTGTAACAGATCATTGGCTGAACCATGAATGCAAAAACATAAAAAAAGTATTTGACATTTGAGACGAGAAGCTGTGAAATCCACAGTAACTCGCCTCTTGCTTTCCCATGTGCAACTCACCCAGTAGGCCTCCGAATGTTATGGCTGGAGAGAGGGCAGCAAAGTAGATAAAGATAACGGCAGCCATGCACTGACTGTTCAGGGCGTCCTTGAAGTCACTGAGGTACTTTGGGTAACGGCGCCGCACATCTCGTATCAGCCCACCAAAGGGACGTCCGGTGCGCTTTAAGGGATCGTCTGACTTTTTCAAGGGTGTGAGGAGGGCCTCTGCATGACGGGAAAGTGCAGGATATTAATTAGCATAACAGGAAGTCACAAACAGCAACTTAAATTTTCTTTGATAAAGCCACAGGTATAATATATGAGGAGATGCTCACCTTTTTCTTCAAAGCTTTTTGGCTCCTTGGCCATCAGTTTGACCCCCTGCTCCTCCCGCTTGCGCAGCATCTCCCTCTGAAAGCGGGCCACAGAGCGCAGCAGCTCATCGCCTCCCATCTCTGAAGGCGGCAGCACGATGCTGCAGTCCAGGAAGCTGTTGATGGCGTTCAGCAGGTCCTGCCGGTCGTCTGCCAGGTAGGCTGCTTCGTGAAATTGCTGGACGGCGATTCAGATACAGACAAATGTAATAAACTGTATGTAATGTAAATGTAATGTAGAAAATAACCAATGAAGAGGACATGTTTTAAGACATTTATTATGTATGGGTTCTGTGACAATGATTAGACTGATCCTTACAGAACGGAAGTCAGTCCAAATATCCCATTATTTGAAATCTATTTACATTAGTTAATTTTACCAACCCCATTTTAGATCATCAAACAACTAAGAAAAATCTAAATCATGAATGATAATTTCAAAAAGGTTTGTATGCATAAAATAACAGATGTGGACTGATGAATTGTAATCTAGGCACATAGAAAAATTGAAAATCGTGTCCATAATGGCATAGAGGGGAAAAATAAATATTATTTCTTATCTAATTTTTTGTAGGTTAAATCTTTCATATTTAAATAACACCTTGCTCACCTTGTCAGACATAAGTGTGGAGATGGAACGTCCTATCTGGTGATAGTCCATGCTGGTGGTGGGGGGTCCTAGCAAAACAAAGAGAAACCTGACCGGCACGGGGACCTCAAGGACAGACTCCAGCTCCACCGCCTCCTGCAGCCGCACAAACGCCATTGTGGGCTGCTCCAGGAAGTCCACGCTGCCTGAAAGACGATGGGACATAAAAGTCAACATATGGACAGCACTACACACAATGAAAAGTGATTTCTAAGTTGGTATTTTAAGTTCTGTGTGTGGTTTTCAAGGCTTTAGTGGGAGAGATAACTCACCCACAAGAACAACAGTGGCCTCAGCATTTTCAGGAATCTTCTCCAGCAGCTTCAGCTCATGTTTGGATTTGGACCGATGCATACCGGACATCAAGGTCGGCTCCTTCTGCTGCAATGGAAAGCAAAGTGAAATCAGTATAATGACGAACACTTAAAACTGGTACTTTTGGAAAACGTTTCAGCTCTAGACTCACCTGTACTTCGTTTTTCTCCACGTCTATGCGCGTGTCGGTGTCCCCGGTGACGTGGGTGGTGCCCATTAGCGGGTCGGTCACCGATGGTTCTGGCTGATGGGTGTGATTGGCATTGTGGTGGTGTGTTATCAGACTGCCCAGGCTGGCTGCGGAAATGTTCCTGGGGAAAGGGCTACTGTGCTCCTTCTCATCACTCGGGTGACTAGGGGAGGCAGGGAGAGGCAGAGAGAGGGTGAGCAGGAGGAAGAGAGGCAGTGAGAAGGCATAAAGCCACCTAGTAGCAGGAAGTGTGCAACAGTGGGAGTAAAGATTTAAGTGGAGTTTAATCGCTGCTCAACATACATACACACACACACACAATGCCAATAATTAACACTATGAACTTGTATTAGCTTTGAAAGTCAAAGTGTAATCTCTTGCAAACATGCACACAAGCATAGGCAAAAGAAATACCCCCAAAAAATTTAAGAAAACGAACATCATATAACATTTAGCCATGGCTGTTTACCCCTTACAATTAGGACATGTCTACTAGTAGTCTAAATTAGAGCCATAAATGTAGAAAGACAAAATAAACAACAAAATCCTTATTTGCAGCTTTTAATAGTGCTTCACAGTTTTCACTAGTGTGCTCCAGATCTTTTTACTCTGAAGTTTTGAGAAGCACCTGATTCAGCTGCACCATTGCTGGATTTAAACTCCAATTTGGTTGGTATAGTTAATTATATATTAATATACAAGTGAGCCTTTGATGAGAATTTAAACTGAAATTCCTCAAATAGGTTGCTTAATATTCCCCCTTAAAGGGAAATCACTGCTCGTTTCTTTACAGTCACAGTGCAGCATGTCACCTGTGTGTTTCAGCAGCAGGGCCCCTAGGACGTTGGCTCGGTCCTCAGCTTTTGATTTGGTCAGAAATATCTTCTGCTCCCCACCTGGTGGGGGATGCCAGGCAGGGTTTTGGTCGAGGTCCAGCAGCACTGCACCTGTGGACACACACATACTGATTTCAGAAATCTGTGAACTGCATCACTAACTTTTAGGTCATGCTCAAAATGAACCCAGTTTCTGTCTCTTACCATGTGAGATGGTCTTTCGGAGCTCCAGCAAACTGCGGAAAGACAGTGAGGCCACGTGAGGTTTCCCCCAGCGGTCGGTCTCCTCCTCCACGTCTTCCTCAAACTTGATCCATCGGAAGCCGTCTGCCTTCCACTGCATCTCCTGGTTCTTGTCCATAGTCAGCTCATTCAGCTCCACAAACACCTGGAATCAATGTCACACAGGAGCACATGCAAGTGTAGGTGAGATACGGTAGATAACACCCACACTGTTCACACAAAACAACATGTGCCTTCAGCAGGTGCCAACATATTTATTTAATAGCCCAAGAACATTGTATTTAGTCAGGTGATCACACTCAAACATTTCCAAAGGGTTTGCATCTCAACAACAGAAATTAGACTCCATGCTTACCACCAAGTAAGTACCAAATTATTTAAATTTACTGATCTCTTGTTCATGTTATTTCCCTAGATGTTCAATCACAAGAAAACATTGCATGAAAACACAGAAAACAGCCAATGACATCTTAAAAACATGATACTAAAAAGTCAGAGGAGTGACTTTAATCAGCTCTCAGCCTCAAATATCTGGTTATTAAGTAAGTATTAATTGAACACCATGCTGGTCAATCAAATCCGCTGTGAAATGATCAAAACACAATGTCAATCTCCTCAATGTATCATCCTGTGCCAAATTACACCTGCTGCATGCCTGTGAAATCACGCTCACACGGCTCAAACCTGACTATGGCCGGTCACCCAGCCTCACCTTCTGGTACCGAGCCATTTGACCGGAGCCCACGTCCAGCAGGACGCCTTCTTGCCGTGAGGCGGAGCGGTACACAACCACCGGTAACGACTGGAGGAGTGAGACGGTGCAGGAGAGGACTCAAACACTGATACAAGCCACAGCGGCACAAAGAGGGGACCCTGACTCTGACACACATACCCAAAGGTAACTCTGCCTCATTACACACACCTGACAGAGACCTGTTGTTTACTCGGGCTGCTGGGGGCTCAGGGCTGTGTATGAGAATGTGTGTTAATAAAACATAGCTCTCCCTCTCTCAGGGAGCTCCCAGTGTCCGGTTACTTATGCTCCTCTCCCCCCTCTTTTTTCCTTTCCGTGTGTGAAAGGAAAGAACTCATTCATTCATTTTTAATTGTCTCCTTCCCTCCCTGTCCCATCCACAAAAGAGACGGGACAGTGCTACATTTGAGAGAGAGAAAGAAGGAAAAACATCTCAAACAACATTTTTGGGGCAATTAAGAAAAGATAAGACCAGAAAGTCCCCCCCCCCCCAAAAAAAAANNACATATAAGCAGGAGTTGAGGGTTTTTCCAGGGGAGACTACTTTTGAGGATGTTTGTGAGCAGACCACATGGTTTGGTAGCTGCCAGGCCCCCCCCCCCAAAAAAAAAAAAAATCCTTCAAGTGCAAATTGACTTAAAGCTTTTTAAGACCAAATAAATAACTGATTTCAGCAAATACAGGCCTGTTATATTGATCTATTTAACAATTTTTGAGGTAAAGAAATAATTTGCAGCATTATAAAGTATAAATGAGTTTGAACATTTCTTTGTCGAATTAGTCTATAATATTAAAAGACATGTCAAAATGGCGGCAGATTCCAATTTTAGATTTCTAATATAATAATTAGTTGATTCGTTCAATCAACAAGTTCTGACTGGGTTTGGACTGTTGGTTGAACCAAAACAGCAATTGCATGTGCTGTGAATCTTTTCACAGTTTTTCTGAAATTTAACAGGCTGAATGTTTAAAGCATAAATTAGTCAATCATGAGTTGCAGCCTTAATTTTCATGTTACGTTGTTGCAAAGGAGTACTTGTAACCTTCTGATTTCATTATCTATCCAAGTATTGATCTAAAAAGAGTGTGATTTTTATCAAATCATCAGATTTCTTTGTGGGATTCAGTGTTACCAAAACTAAAAGATTATACCCCAGTGCTTTATAGCTATTGTAAATCTACTAAACCCACAATACATGTGGATTCTGATGAGGCTGTAAGACAACTTTGGCTAAAACCGAGGACAAACATCATCAAACTTGGCATGGCATTAATTGACGCGTGTCCTGCTTCAATGTTAAAGAGGATGGACAACAAGTCCTGTAATGTCTCACCTCATGTGGGGTTCGGTCCTGTTTACGGCTGCGAGTGGTCGGCTCTTTATGGTCCTTGCCAGTGTGCACCACTTGGCCCTTGGTGCTTTTTCTGACCAGGTGTCTGCGCATGCCGGGAACATCTTCAAAACGATGACCTGGAAGAAGAAGAATGGTATTAAAGAATATAATCTAGAGAAAACTGAAATGTCTTTGATCTTAAGACACCATCAAACACTAATATTAACCAAAAACAAACATGATATTCAGTAAACATGATATTCATGTAATATAACTGTAACTTAAATCCCAGCACAGTACATAGAGGGTACATTTGTCTTATTTTGTGCTTCTACAGCCCTCAGCGTGCAGACGTTGACCTTGCACCCCAAGTTCAAATCTCAGTCCAACAAGTCACAGAGGCCACTTTGCTTTTGTTTCTGTGGTCCCTCAGCAGGGAGTAGAGTTACTCAGGCTGGCAGCACTACTGGTACTGAAAAGGATGTGGGGAGAGACACCGGATGGCACAGATAGGACACGACACAGTGAGCAGGAATTGAGTTCAAAGATCAATGGACCGCCTGGCAAAAAACTCTGCTGTTTCATTCAACTAGAACACAAAAAATAGTTAAAACACTAAGCAAAATCTCACTGTTATGTTCTAAACTGCAATGAACTACTCTTCCCAAAACAACCATTACACTGAAAAACAATAAGAAAATCAATATTTCCTCCAAGAATACCAACTGTCTTACCTTTATCAGAGCTTCTATGTCCTATGAAACAAACAGTGAAGCTTTTAAGGTTCTTCATCAGTATTTGAACTCATCTGAAAACCAGGCGGTCACCAAGAGGGTCAAGTCGCTCCATGATGTCTGAGGAAGGTTTGGGGCAGACACTGGAGTAAAATGAAGCCTGACTGGCATGCAGCTCTTGAAGGGAAGAGGAGGATTTGTGGTGGGCGTAGGGTAAGTGCTGGCACAGTTGTCTGACTACGTGACCCACTCGCTGCTTAAACTGCAGCGTGCGACTTGTGCAAGTTTTGACAAATTTGGAAAAAGTTGCCATTTCTTGACCAGCGCCTGACTCCGCGGGGCTGAATCTATCAGAATGCATCAGCGAGCTGAGGTGTTAATTCGCTCAGGTCGGACAAAAGGGGAGGGACAGTGATCTAATAATTCCTATTGTTGAGCAGCAGCCAGAGACAGAGACACTTTCCCAGGATGATTTACGGTGGCGGGAAGCAGATAAAAGAGGACGCAGAGAGGAGCTGGTGATGAACGTGTTGGGAGGCTGGACTGTGTCACTAAGCCCCATAATGACCAAATATCTGGACAATATCAAGCCTATACCTCCATCCACAGCCTCTTAATTTTCCCTTCAAGTCCACTTAACTCTTCCCCTTGTTTCATTCCACTAATGATTAAAGGTTGTGAACTGAGGTCCAGGTTTCACAATTAGCCACCATGTTGGCTCGGGCCTGAGTCCAGGGGCCTCAGCTGACAGCGGGAACGGCTAATTTAATAATGCGAGCCTGTCTGCCACACTCTCTGATAAGCTGCGGCTCTCTGCTGAGGGGTTGGCTCCTTGTTGTAAATCTCCCCAGCTCTGAACACAACCCCACGCTGGGCCAGGGGCCGGGGACGTCACAAGGCTGCGGGGAGCTGACTGCAATGTAGAAGGGAACCGAGGGTGGCCCCCTGCCCTAGCCCTGATTGTTTTTGTAGGAATCTGAGCATCAACAAATCCAAGACTTAATTACTGTCAAATCATACAAAATCAATTCAGAGGTTATTAACTATAAAAAGCTGGAAATGTAAAAATACATATGAAACACCGTAAGTAAGACACGTGTGCACACACAAGCTGTACTAGATAGATAGATAGATAGATAGAGTAGATAGATAGATAGATAGATAGATCCAATATAAAAATAACACATTATAGCCTATTTAAGCACAAAAAGTGCATTTCTTCACAGACCATTCACATGCACAGAGATAATAATTAATAAAATTTGTCAACCTGTGTCCTTTTTACCCACCTGCTGTACTAAACAAGTTTTAAGAACATAAAATCTGCCATGTGAGAATTCATCTATACTCACTCTTGATGCCGTCCAGATCAGCGGAGGCCAGCGTCTGAGCCTCGCTCTCGTCAGTAGGGATGCGCTGGTACTTGGCCTGCTCTGCACCCGTCATGTTGCCTGTGCGGCGGCGCTCTTGCAAGTCGTAGCTGCGACTGGCGGAGGACACCCTGGCCAGTGGTATGTGTTCAGGAGCTATGGCCTGGGGAGTGGTGGAGGTCGAAGCGTCGGGGGAGACTGGCTTACTAGATAAAAGCAGAAAAACAAGAAAAAAGGTTGTAGCTCAGAATTCGACATGTGTCAGGTTGATAAGATTGTTGTTTTTTGGTTATTTTTATTCTTCTTTCCACTAGAATTTTTTTTTAAAGCAAAGCTGGAAACATACAGACAAAAACAAGACTTTTGTACCAACTTTTTGCCACCGAACCACAAACATTTTTCCTCTATTGCGCTCCTTTTATCGTTAAATTACTTTTTGGTGATTTGGTTGTCATATTTCACATCACATTCATGTATTCAACCCCTCTATTGCTGTTCCACATAGAATACCCTTGAATCTCTCAACTCAAAACACTAACATTTTAAATGCACAAAAACTATTAAAGTGGCAATAAAAAAATTCTCAACCAATACAAACCCTTCAAAGTACTTTTGAAATCAAGATAATGAACTCACCGTCCTTTAAATGTCAGTTGTACCCAGCATTTCACAAATGTGAAACAATTATTTTTCCCTTACAGCTTCTGTTTTTAGGTTGTTCTCCGATCGACTGAAAACAAGCTAAAAGCTGTAAACGCAGCTTTATACTAGCCCAGATAAGAACCTCATGAAGTGGAGAAGTAAATGTCATAAGGGGAGCCTGGGGCTGCTGAGGTGTGTGGTGTCGTCAATAGCGACAGGTGATTTATGGGTCTCTGAGGAGTGGATTACTTCGGTCCATCAGATCATTCCCAGCAGGCTCACTGGATGCCTGAGACATGGTAACGTACAGTGTGTATCTCACTGGCCAATCAGACGTGTGCCTGAGCTGTCTCACCCAATCCAAACCTCTTGTGAGAACATTTCAGCAACATGGCAAAAACATGCATTATGCAATCATCACAGCAGGTAAATTATAACCCTCTCACGCCCCCTTTGTGTGTGCATGTGTGTGTTTTTCTTCAGTCTAATATGTAAACTTTACTCACTCTGAGGAAGAGGCATCTTCAGTATCTGCTCCTTCCCCAGACTTTGGTACGATATCCAGCTCACGGGCTGCGTGAGTCATCTCTTTGGCCGCATGGTCTTCATCGGAAACAAAGAACTGTGGAGGGAATACAGAGCGTGAGACCACTGCTTATTGTAAAAAACTGACAATAAAGCAACAATTTCAGATATCAGATAAAAACAGTGGAGAAACAAAAGGTTTCTGCCTTGTGCACATTAGTTCAAGGTAGAGCACTGATTACTTTTAGTGAATCGAAGTAGGAATTTGATTTTGAAAATAGATGTATTTAGATATTTACTGCACAAATACAGGATTATTATCTAAAGGAGAAAACTATTTAACTATTTAAGGGCTCCACAGTTTTAAACAATGGATAGATAGATATACAGTAAAAGATACATACAGTATGTGATAGGCAAACTCCATAGATTTTGAGAAATGGATCAAGCATCATATCTGTAAACCTAAATCTAAGAACAATATAGACATAAAGGTGGCATAGCAAGAAATGTATACCCCATATGCTTTGTTGAGGTTTGTTTTCTCCTTTTCTTGTGTAAAATATTGAAACTGCGACAAATAAAACGTGGGAAGAAAAGAGTGAAAGCTGAATCCAATACATAACAGATCAACAAAAACAGATTAAAAAAATTAAAGCAAAGCAACATCTTAATCATATTATACTGCTTCTGCACAGTATTCAGTTACATTTCGATCAGGTTAAATCTGGTCTTCTTTTGTGAAGCATAATAACAACCAAACATGAAACCCACTGATGAATGATTAAGACTATACTTAAATATTCATGGAGGAAAATATGGTAATGTTTCAACAGTGAGTGAGCAGGTTGGGTATCGGAGCATTAAGGACTAAACACTCATCCACCCACATCTTTATGTAAATATACAGGACATTAAGAGTCACTGTAACCCCTTTCTTACATCTGCATTAACAGGTATTCTCCTTTTAAATGTACAGTTTAAGAAAACATAAAACTAAAGTATAAAAGCAAGCAAGATTACAGCCTGACCAACACATCAGACTAATTACTAAGTGAGTAATTTATAATGTTGAATTAAATAAATGTAATCACAGCACATGATGCAGTAAAAAGTACTTAAGGTGGTCTCATCATGACATATTATGTCAGGTAGACTTAATTCTTCATAGTAGTTTATAGTGTGACAGAAGCAGAAGCTGGTTAAGTTTGTTAAGAATAATAAAAAATATAGTGCACTTTGGTTCCTTCTTTGTCCTAACACCTTGTCAAGGTATAAAGGATCCTTGATATTTTCGTTAGAGCTGAAACAATTAGTCGATCAAAAGAAAAACTCAAGCAATCAAAAGAAAAATGAAGGAAATGTTTCACTATTTTCTGGCATTTTATAGATTGAATCAAGACAATAATACGCAGATTCATCAATAATCAAACAACGTGTTACTTGCAGGACTAGTTTTTATATAAACAAGTAACAACCAATATAACCAAAACAGCACTGACCAATAACATCATTATTAAAGTATTTTTTTACTCCCAATTACAGAATCAAAAGAGGGTGAAACAAACACAAATATTATATTATATTATTATTAGTTTTAATGCAGATGTCAGTCCCTATTGGGGCTTTCCCACTCACTCATAAATTAATTTAAAGATTAATACGAAGCCGAATAATTACCTCCACATCTTTGACTTTCTCCGACTCAGCTGGAGCAGAAGATGTCTCCGTGCCCTCCTCCTCCTCCTCCTCATCTTCATCCTCCCCCTCCTCTATGGGGCCACTGCTGGGAACCTGGCTGCTTTTGTGATCTTTGTCTTTTCTCCGTTTCTTGTTGCTCTTCTTCCTGCGTCCCTCTGGGGGCAGTTTGGACAGAGGTCGGGGATGTGAGTGTGTGGAGCGACGGTGGACTGTGGAGACGATACAAAGGTTTAAAAAGGTTTTTTTTTTTTTTGGACACATGTATAAAAGTGAATGCTGAAATGCATTCAACAAGAAGAAGACCAGCGTGTGCTTACAATCAATGTCCTCCTCATGGTAGTTGTGGTGCTGTTCATCGGGTACCACAGAAGCAGGACTGAGGATCTGCTGGAAGCGCTGGACGCCCAAGGCTTTGTTCAGGTCCCCATCATCCTCCTCATCGGGGCGTGGAGTCCCGTGTAGTGATGAGGCGGCAGGGGCTTCTGGCTGCAATACAAAAAACAAATGAACAAATACATTAAAAGAAAAACATAAATAAATGTCAGTAAATGAATCAGAAGTTTGGAGATCCAAAGTGTTCAATATATAGTATAGTCATAAATAATGAGATATTAAAGACTAATCTTAATTAATTAATTAAACTTAATCTCAATATTACAAAAGATTTGATTTGATTCTCTCAAAATGTCCCTTTTCTAAAGTCTGTTTTTTGTTTGTTTGTTTTTTGTCATTCAGATTAAGTCATGCACAAAGTATTGTAGCTGTGTCCCAGTTACACACTACAATACTAACTGCACTTTTTTGCATACTGCAGTATACAAGAAACCAGATCTGTGCCATGCAAAGACAATCAAACTGCAACTTGATGCTACTGCCAACCTAAGAGACAGCGAAACGTTTTCCCATAAAAATCTGTAGTTATTTTTTGTCTTCTGGGGTGTTTCTCGAACTGTTTTGTCACCACTCCAGTTTTCCTACTTTATTTGTTGTTGCATTGTAGGAGAAGAGTGTCCATCAACAACACACTCTAAAATTAAGGGTGTTTCAGTCTGCACACTGAAACTGTTTTTGGTTGTTTTACAGTGTAACCATACTACATATTCAAAACCTTAGAATGAGTCTGTAGTATGGATTTGTGACACTTTCACTTAAACCAACACTAGAGGGAGTTCTGGTTCTGCAAATACACGCCAGTCAGGACCTCATATGACAAGCTCTCACATGCATACCTTCCTGAAAATGAGCCTTAAATTGGAAACAATAGCCATGTGCATTGATCAGTTACTCTTTTTCCACACTGTGGTGTGACAGGGATCATGTGGGTGTTAAGAGATCTGTTTTCTTGCAGCAGGATGCTGTGCCCTGCTGCGCCCAGCTCTGCCGGTGGGATGTTGTGATAGGGATTAGCTAGAGCGACGCAGCAAGTGGATCTACTCTGGCTAACAGGATCGTGGTGTAGCCACCTCAAGGCAGAGTAAATGTTGCCATGACTACTGCCCAGAGGCCTCAGATCCTGCAGCGGACCCTTCCTGTGGCAAAACTCAGGGGCCACAAGTCATCTGATGCTCCCACAAATGGTTCTCAGGACACCCAACATGTCAGTCATATATTAAGTTTTCTCCAGTGCTGCAGGGAGTAACAGAACGTACGTGATGATATACAATTACTCATCTCCCGCCTGCACCTCCTGCTAAGTTTTGTGTCTCACACTTTTTTCAGTTTATGCACAGCAGACTGCTAAAAGAGTACACAAATCAACTATAATTATGTAAAATTACAGTGGTAGAAAGTAACTAAGTATACTTACTCAAGCACTGCACTTAAGTTAATTGCATATACCTCAAAATTGTATTTAATGCTACTTGTATTCCATGGGAAATATTGTACTTTTTATTTTACTACATTTATCTGACAGATAAAATTACTAGTTACGCTTCAGATTAAGATTTAAAAAGAAACATTTTCATAAGCTCATAAATTAAAATGCATTGTTGTTATTGACCAATTATAAAAACACAGTGTCTAGTTGGGGTCATGTTTCTGACTTTATCAAATAAATATTTGCCCTTTAAACCGCTCAGATGGTTTCACTGAAATAACAGTTTGATTAATTGTCCAATATTTCACAAATAAAACAAATTATAAAACAGTGAAACAGTACTTAAGACATTGATGCATCAGTATTCACAATCTAATCATGTAATATATATATTACATATTTATATATTACATATTATAATATATATATATATATATATTATAATATATCAGACACAGGACTCATTTTACTTTTGATACTTCAAATTACTTTTCACTAATAACACTTCTGTAATTAAATGCAGAACTTTACTTGTTGCAGAGTAGTTTTGCATTGTGTAATTGGTACTTTTACGTAAGTAAATAAATACTTTCCAACATAACCAAAAATAACCAAAAATAGATCCTGAAATAATATAATATTATATCAAATGAACTTTTTCCATCCATTTAAATATGCATATACAGAACTGGCAGCTGTTTATACACATGATGTAAACCAGCTTTGCCACTTTGTTTGTTCCAGTTTGACACATTTCTACATTCAAAACTCAAGCGTTCATCCTGAATGTATCACGCACATAGCTTGACAGATGTTCATGAATTAAGGCATGTCCAAAGAAAGTGTGAAAAGCTGATTCCCAGGACCCTCATAACTGTGCAGTGTTTTACTCTGACCTGTTTTAACATGCCACACAGAGGTGACAGAAACAGAAAGCCCTGAACTGAACTGTGGGCAAGCTGAGACTTAAAAATGAGAGACAGGTCAGCACATTCAATATTGACCCAAGGTTCAATTCCTCATGTAGCTTTTTTCCTGACAGATGAAAAATAAGGACTTAAAAAACTATATGTTCACCTTTGTGACCTCCAGAGCAAACTGCCAAAGACAATTCTGCACTTTAAAGCACCAACAACACTCACACTTTAAGTAGCAGAGCAGATTTCTTTCTAAATGAAAAAGGGCCTGAATGGAAAAATGTGGCTCTTCAAAACATGTCAAAAATTAAATAGAAAACCTTTTTTTAAATTAGGTATCAGCCTACGTCTGCGTCACTCAATACTTCAATATTTAATTAGATGGCCAATCCAAAACCCTTGAGCACACGTATCCTATCCAGATGTGTGCTGCTACACTATCCGGCAGTTTATTTTTACAGAGCTCTCATTCATATCACGGTTTCACAGTGAATCCCAAGAGGTGGGAGAGATGTGTGAGGGATTCTCAAAGAGGCGAGAGAAATTTCCACAACCGAAACCATGTGCAAAAACAAGCTGAGGGGAGCCAAGCAAAAACAAAACTGACCAGACAATGAAGAAAACTTTGACTAAGAGTAATATTTTTTGACTTCAGTAAGGAGTTTCAGGGACTTACCTCACTCATGGCACAGTGAGCTTAATCGTAATCAACGTTTTGGTGGCAACAAGCGTCGCTGCCCTCCACCATGACAACACTGGAGCTCTGACCCCTCAACACTTCTATTAAGAACCGCAGGCAGGAGATATCCCTCTCCCCGCTGCTTATCAAAGCCTCGTGATGCCCTAATCAGAGCTCTATCGGCCAACCTGCCACCTTCACCAGTCTGCCCATTGTGCCAGGGCAGAATAAACAAGACTCTCGTTCTCCCTTTGAGGACAAATGCTGACTGAAAGGACAAGCGGTGTTTGAACAGCCAGGAACAAAACCTCACGTTGACATTCATCTCTACATTTTAACTTTGCCACATGAAGCCTAAATATTGACCAAGGTGCTATTAGTCAATGCACCTTGAAGGGCAACGTGAATGCATAGGAACTAAACATCTTATGATTTTCAATGGATGCATTTTTCTATGGCTAATATTGACAGAAGACATGTTAAATAACAGGCTGGAATTAAATGTGATTAAAGTGTTGCTTGTGCCATAAAGGTAAAAGCACTAATGATTGAAAAAACATATTTGTGTTTAGCTAGCAGAGTCGAACTACAGCAGTTCATTAACCAAGTTCATGGAACTTTTTTTTGAAAAAAATTCCACCATCTTAAGTCAGTTAAATTTCAATCTAAAAGCCAAAATAAATCCATTAGTGCAGACATGTGCCTTTCAGCAAGAACACTCTCATCTTTCTTGATAACAGTGCCACTAATCTTGTATTAACAATCAATAATATCTCATTAATACAAAATAATGAGAATTTTAGTCATTTATAGGAATTAGCAGGCCAAGTTTATCTTGGCCGCATGTTGAACCACCATGTTTCTACAGTAGCCCAGAACAGACAAACAAAACACAGGCGCCGGATAGGGCCTGCTAATATGCTAATTTTGTTTAGCACATATGATGTTTACTATGTTTGTCATCTGAGAGTTTTGCAGGTATTTTGTCATAAACCAAAGTAATGGAGCGCCTTTTAGCTCATCTGGTAGAGCTTGCGCCCAATGTACCAAGGCTGAGTCCTTGCTGCAGCAGAGAAAAAAAAAAAATATGATGATGGCGCTACATAGACACCGAAGTTGCTAGAATTTAACAAACATAGTTTCATAAATTTCATGACAATCCATCCAATAGTTGTTGAGATATTTGGACCAAATGACTTTGCTATGTAGCAGAAATATGAGCTACAACAGACTGCAGAAATAAACAAAAACAAAAAGAAAGCAATGTTTGTGCTTTTTAGCTTAAATTTCCATATATCAGAAGAGTTAATCTTGTGAAGCAACATGAAGTTTTAAAAAGTAGCGTGCATGTCCAGTTGTATAGTTGTATAATGAGGCAGGCACTTGACAGTGTGTGGAGGCTGCAGAGGAGATTATCTGTGTCGTGAGGTAGGCTCAAATCCCACACAGTCAGCACTTGGAGGGGAAAGGGGCAGATAGGCTGCGGATGTTGGAGCGATCACTTCGTACCGTGAGGCTGATGAGTCACTGCATTCCTACATGTGTTAACATTAGTCTGCAAGGAGATCCGAGTGCACAATGCTCGGAGTTTCTGATTATCCTATGAAAGCATGTGAGTTGTAACCCAGTTTTATCCTCAGCCAAGTGTGAATTTTGTGTTATGCAAGCCCAATACGTCATATACTGATCCTCCAATCAGTCTGAGACCGGAAAATATGTCTCCAATTCTTTGTTTTCGCTTCCTGTCTGGTGATACGCTTTGATTATATTTGTATTGGGAATTGGGCTTTCAGCAGTCAACAGCGTTATCGTTTCATATTATACAAACAGGGCTTTAAGTAGCCAAACATGGAAAAATCATTTGCCTACGGTAGCGCTGAAGATGTCCAACTGATAAACCCGTGTGTAAGATGCACGTCACAGGAAGTGTATGAGGTTAGAAAAGCAATAAAATGTAAAGATAGGTAGGCGGGGGTGTGAGTCGTACTGATCCTTCTATCTGAGGTCTGATGGCTCACTTCCGTCGAGCGGCTGTCTCACCGGGAGTCACTGATACGGCTGCACTATAATG